GTTTGTGGAGACGCGTTGAGTGGGGGCTTGGCAACGGACCTCAGAGGTGCTTTTCTCAAAGCAGGCTGTGTGTGTGGAGGCGAGATGCTCTTTCACAATGAGAAGTAGCAAGGCGCCCGTCAGCACAGAGCCGTGGAGCGCCGGGAGGGGAAATAACGCATTGTTTTCTACTTGCAGAAAAATTAGACACTATGTGTCCATCATCCGAGTGAACAGCGGCAACAGTAAGGTGTGTCGGGCCCTCGGGACGGGACGGCTGCCCCAGCGGCTGTTAGGTGGCCGCACTAACAGCTTCTGCTCTTCATTTCCAGGCTGAGAAGATCACGGAATCCGTTCATTCTGACACTCCCACAGGTATGGCGCCCATGTTCCTCCTCCGAGGAGCTTGCCCGCTGCACGGCGGGTCTCTGCTGCCCAGGTCCCAGGTCCGGAGCCCTTGAGGGCGTTCTGACAGGCGTAAGGGAGTCTGGGCACCTCACATGCATGGATTCAATGTGGAAGCGTGTTGAGCGACATGTGGGTTGTTGGCTGAGCTGTGCTCTAGGAACAGGGACAGCTTCTGACAGTCGCCACCGCCAGCAGACAGGGGGCGCCGGGCCCTTCAGACCTGCCTCCCCGTGTCCGCTCCCACCCCCCTGGGTGACTGCACATGGTCCAGTAGCTTCCCGGCTCCAGCTCCCATCCCTTCAGCTTTGGGGACTTGCTTCCCAGCACCAGGCAGCTCATTCCCTCGGGAACGGGCCCTCGTGTTTCCCGAGCCGACTGCCCGCGGTCGGGGTACATACAGGGGTCAGCCAGTGAATCATCAGTAAGTGGAACAACAAATTGGTGTTTCTCTCTCCCTCCCTCCCTCTCTCTCCCTTCCTCTCCCTCCCTCCCTCTCTCTCTCTCTCCCTCCCATCTCCCTCCCTTCTTCCCTCTCTTTCAAAGTCGATTAAAAAAAATTTTTTTTTTTTTGTTTAAGAAGAGTGTGTGGAAGGAAAAGTATTCCAAGAATAAAACAGGCACAGAAGACGGGAAGTCCGGAGTGTGTTCTGGAAAGAGCAAGGGTTAAATCGAACTGGTGGGCGGGGTCAGTGTGCAGAGAGGAACTGGGGTCACGCAGGATCCCCGGGTGCTATGTAGGAAAGGAGGGTTTTCACCTGCAGGCAGTGCAGTCTGAGCCCATGGGAACCAGGAGTAGCTTGACATCTGAGCTCTTAGGGCAGGTGTGTGACGGACGAGGTGGAAGGAGGGACCAGACAGAATGCCAGCATCGCCATAGGCGGGAGCAGAGGCGCAGCCGCCAGGGCATAACCAGTGATGGCAGGAAGGAGACAGAGGCCACGTGGGAAGGTGGTGGAGACCAGAGGCCTCATGGGAAGGTGGTGGGAACCAGAGTGAGGAAAGCAAGGAGGCGCAGTCGAGAGGAGGTTGTGAAGCCTGGAGGGTGAGGGGTGCAACGGGCTGGGAAGGTGAGACAAAGGCATGGCTCCTTGGGTTTGTGTGTGTGCGCTCGCTCGTCAGCTCGTTCATTCTACAGTTTTTGTCGAGGGCCTGCTGGGTGCTGCAGAGAAGGGCCGGGGGTGTAAGTTTTGCTGCCAGCAAAGCGTCCGCAGGTAGCTCGGATGTGGGACTGATGAGACTGAGCAGGGATGGTGGCAGGGGGTGGGGACCGAGGGGCCCAGGAGGAGCTGGAGGGAAAGGAGGGCACCTTTGCATCCGAGAGCTCACCAATGACGCAGAGGAGTGCAGGTTCAGGAGAGAGGGCAGAGCCAGCCTGAGGGGCTGGAGGAGCAGGAGTAGAAGCTGCCCGCATGGGCCCAGCATGACCATAACCCTTGCACTGCAAGGTCAGGGAGCGCCTTTACTTGGATAGCTATATAAAAGCCTAAGCAACCAGCCAACCAAACAACCAGTCGCTATGATGTGCAGACCACCGGGGGACAGACACTCAATGCAGGAGCTGCCCCCTGGTAGTCAGTGAGCTCCCACAGCCAACCTCCCATGACCCCTCCTCCAACCATTCCCCACTCCCCATTGAGGGGGGGAGGGGTTGGCCGGCCAAACTCCCACAGCCCTTCCCCCCACTCCCACCAACCTTCACAGCACCAGGCCACTAGTCCTATCTAATAATAGACAAACATGGTAATTAACCATACCTCTGCTACGCTTCCCATTGGCTAATCAGGATATGCAAATTAACTGCCAACAAAGATAGCGGCCGGCAGCCACACAGCTGAAGCAAGCAGGAGGCTTGCTTGCTCCAGTGATGGAGGAAGCCAAGGTTCCCCGCCTGCCACGGCCCAGCTCTGAGCTCCGGATGCAACAATGTTGCAATTATAGAAGCTAAACAAACCCCAGATACCTGCTTTCAGCCAGCCACAGCCTCAGAGCTGGAGGCAGCTCTCAGCTCCAGTGACAGCTATAGAAGGTAAATAAATCCCAGAAAAAAAAAAGGCTGGGAGCTTCAGTTGCCCGCCAGCCTGATAACGGCCCTCAGCCCCTCACCCAGACTGGCCAGGCACCCAAATGGGGACCCCCACCCTGAAGGGGGTGTGACCAGCTGCAAACAGCCCAACAGCCCCTCACCTAGGCTGCCAGGCACCCCAGCGGGACCC